GGGGGAAGGGGGGGGAGAGATAATCCATAAACTGTGTAACTTCATTAATGACGAAAATATCCGTAAATTTCAAAAGTATTATTAGATAGAATCTGATCAACAAAATTTTATTTTTAGTTAATAAATCTGCAATTACTGCAAAATTTTATTTTAGTTAATAAGTCTGCAATTATTTAGTTAATAAGTCTGGAATTAAAATCTGTAAATTAGTCAAGCAATTTAGAGAATTTAATTGCATATAATTGCATATAATTATATTAGATTTTTAAAATATAAATTATAAAGAAAGTTTTTTTTATGATTATTTCATAATAATATTAAAATTTTTGTTAATAAAATCATCTAATATCTTTATGCTGTTGTTTTATTACAGATAATACAAATAAATCGTAGTTGACATAGTGAAAAGGTGAATCGACGTGATTTCTGTAACATGCAATGTGTCGTAAAGTATATACATCTTGCGCGTGATGATGCGTCTCATGGGTTTGGCTGTATGCCGGGACGATGGAAAAGAGACACAAGGGAAGAGTATACATGGGACTTTGCAATTCTGATCGCAACCGTTCATAGTTACGAGTGGAACTTAATTTGCCCGAGGCGCGTTCGCGTATAGACGATTCGTCCGCGACGAAAACGTTCGGGAATCGTGCTGGAATTATATTGGGATGGCGCACCCAGCATTAAACTGTCTGTACCGCAAAACTCATTGTCGAAGCCGTCGAAACGGCTTTCGCAAATCGCGTCGATCGTATTTAACGAAAATGGTTTTACTCGGGTTGATTGCGCCGTTTAATACCTCCGTGCGAAAAATGTCATGGGTAGATTTTACTTTTAAACGATATACCCGGGATAATCTTTCCGTTCGGTTAAATCGACGTAATTTTATTGCAATCAAATCTGTTTGCAGCGGCCGGAAAAACCAATGTTACTTTTTCAAATGTGAGATTAGCATGTACGTCCGCTCGATATTTTGATCAACAACCCTTGTAATCAGATTTTTTAAACTGAAAAACCAATTTTGATGAAATGCTGATTAATTGTAATCGATACCGTTTCGAGTATCAGTTATAAATAATCTTTTATCGATAATCATATAAATCAATGTTTCTCACATAAACATATTAAACCAAATATCAAGTTATTGTTTATTGTAACTGAACTTCATTTATGACTTATCTGTTTATCATGCGTGTTCTGTTGATATTTTCAACAAACATAAATTTACAATTGCTAGAATCTAAAGTTGATCATATTAGCATTTGAATAATAATAAACAATCACACATAAGAGGTATAAATTTGTATAGTGATAATGCGAATGGATATAAACTTGTTCAGAATTCGTTACTACAAAAATCGAAAACAAAATTTGCCTATTAAGATAAATAAAATATGTTAATTATAACATTTTAAATAATAATAATAATCTTTACAAAGTTGATTAAGTTATTCTAAATATGTGATATTCAGTTGACAGATATGATTTTACTATTATTTAAACATTCTCAACTACACAAACTACTAAGATTAATCTTTATACATCCATTCAAATTATCACTATTTATTCGGAGTTTCGATGTTAAAGGCTAAGTATATTCAAATTCACATTTCTCTTCGTTACGCTGCTCTCGATGCGATGGATCCCTGACTTTCTTTACTCGCAACACAGGAAAGACGAGTTGTTAAAACTTTGTTATAAATTTCGAAGTTGGCGAAAGCGGAAAGTGATGAGATGATGGCAGCGAACAAAAAGAACAAATGCAACCTCCTTTCATCAGAAAGAAAGTCTACTTGCTAATTATTGGAAAAAAAATTATCCTATGGATTTATTATCCATGTAATTGCAGGCTATGCCTTCTTACAAAAGCTCTTTAGTTTTAAAATATAAATCCATCATAAATGTATCTATATACCTTGCTGTTTCACAAAAATGTTATTACTCGTAATCTCGCGATGCATTTAATTTAAATATTTCTTTTGCTGTTAATTTAAATATTTCTTTTAAATCTGTTCATTCAGTTCGTCTCTTAAAAGTTCATTTTAAGTTTTTTCCTTATAATTTAAAAATTATAAGTATTAAACGTGTTCTTTAAATTACTAATACTAAACACAACCGATATAAAGTGAGCCGACTTTATTTACTTCATAAAATATACTACCGTTATCATATTGGCTTCTACTGCTTATAGAAACGAGCGCTTTTATGAAAGTATAAAAATCCATAGTTCCATTTGACGTCAGCAAGCGAGGTAATTTCGCGTTGTGTGGCGTGCATTTCCTTCTTTCAAAGAAAATTGCTGAAACATTAAGTGTTTCGTTAAATTAGCTTTCTTTACGAATAATTAGTTGTAAGAAGTGGCGTTACCGAAAGCATAGAAACTAGCTGGGGTCTTGAGAGTTTAAATGTAGATACGTTGGCAGTACGAAACTAAAGCAAGGAGAAAGGAGGGATGCGAGTATTGCATCCTTCAAAAGAAGTCCCTGGAAACTTAAAACTGGCGTCACGTCGGTTCACATTTTTCAGGATGCCTTTCAAACGAAAATTAAGCAGGAAAAAGCTCTCAACTTTTCGAGTCTTATTCTTAGTAAATGGGGAAATTCGTATCTTTTTGCCATCAAGGAACTTAACTGACATTCCTTGGATTGTGAAAAACGCTTTGTCATACGACGTCGTAAAATTGTTTACAAGGCAATTCGGAAGTCTTATTACAAAAATAGTGTCTGATTGACAAAGAGCCACTTGCTTTCGTATTCTAATAGATTATAATTATGTGCAAGTTAGAATAAGAATTTTTTACATTGGATATTTATACATGAGGAATGTATTTATTGAAAATGAATTAGGTATGTGAAGTTTAATATATAGGAATATATATTAAACATAAATAAATTGTTTAATTTTTTGATAATTTAATAACTTTATATACGATATTTGATTTTATGTTAACAACGTTTTTATCGTTGATGTGTAATAATTTTTGTCTTTGTGAGCATTCTTGCTCTTATCATATAGCACAATTTAACGTGGCGCCGCCGCGCAGTCTGTTTCTTTCTCATTTCTGAGGACTTAGTGTAACATGTGCACAATATTAAACATGGTCAGATGTTCTTATTTTTAATAAACTCATTCTGTGTAGGTATAAGTCGCTCGAATAAGATGAAGTTATTTATTTACTTAATCTACTTTCATGCTGAATTTAATTGTGAGCGTTTTATAAATGCTTGTGTCCAAATTTAATTTATATGAAATGAGAAGAAGCATTAATATTAAAAACAAATGGTGAGAAATAAAAAAAAACACATTTCTGTTTGTTTTTGTTGCAAAGAAAAACTAAAAAAAGTTTTTTTATAAAAAATTACTAAACTTCCATGCATGACTATCTTTATTGACATTTACAGATCATTGAATTAGATGAAGAAACTCCATGTCCTGGTCACCTCATTTCTCTAATATTACTTTTTTAGATTTCTCCTTCTGTCGATATATTAAAGATGTAGTTTATTTTACCAATATATCGAATGTGAATGTTTTGCGCAATCAAATTATGCCATAACTAATAATATACTTTGATGCACTTGATATAAAGTGAGATATCTGTTCGATATCTTTCGTGTCATTAAAAAAGCTTATGTGAAAATTCGATGATTTCTTGTAAAAAAAAAATCTTCTAATTTTTTATAATACAAATACTCAGAAATATGTGCTTGTATTTTTATTTTTTTTCATTTTACTAGAAATTCATCATGTATGTATATAAATAATATTTTAATTTTTACTCATATTATTATGATTTAACGAAAAAAAAATAATTATATATATATATATATATTGCATAAAATTTATTACGATAAAAATATATAATGTATTATGATAAAGTTACTAAAATAAATTACTATAATTACAATATAATTTCATAATGATGATGTGTAGTAAAATGTCATATTTTAAATAATAAATTTTTGTACAATTCACGAAAAATGAAGACTAAAATATATCGTGCAATTTGTAGTGACGTAAAATGTGTAAAAATGAGATATCAAATTTACTTTGGAAACATACAAAACAAAAATATTAAATTTTAATACGGATAATGTGAAATTGCAATCATCAATCATTTGAAAGCATGTTTTTCTAAGATATTTTGTAAGAATTTAATATTCAATATACGATACAGAGCACAGAAGTATTTACGAACAGGTTATCAGCATATTATAATAAATAGAATGGATGTGACGAAAGATTTACACGTTCCATCGAATAAATGTGTAAACACATTTCCGTATGGGCGTGAAAACGTGCATTGTCTGTAGGTACAAAGTGCCACATTTCCTAAAATATTACATATAGTGTAGCATATGTTCCTGATGCTTTTGAGGAGGGAAGTAACCCCGCAGAGTTTTGTTCCTATTCGCGGCTTGTAGACCGTACCCATTTCCGTGTAGCCCGGAGGTACTACGTAATAAGAGCTTCATTCTGCACCAAGGAGTTGCAGACCTCTTCTCTCTTCCCTTTCCTCTCACACATACACACATACACACATAGTCCACACACACACACATACACATTTTGTTTTAATATGAACGCTATCCAACGCTTGGCTTCCTTGCGGGCTACGGCTTAATAGGTCGAATTGTCGATAATCCTCGCATAACGGAGTTTCAGCAAAAAACATCGCGCTCATTCGAGTGCGAGGGTTAGTTTGCAGAGCATCTAGTATGGGTTATGCGAAAATGGTTGGGATACGAGATGGAGTTGGGTTTAATATATGTATGCAGATACGTGGCCGCGTGGACGTGAGAGCTCGCGCGTGCGTGTGTTTGCGGTTGCATGCATAGTTGCGAGAGAGGTTGAGGGGAGGATGAGGGAAATTGTCATTCGGCGGAATTGCAATTTCTCGCTGACGCGTGCTGTGCAACCTCTCGCGCGACAAGTAAAAGCGAACTAATGATGCGCACTAGACTTAATGCCCTGTGTTCCTGTTCTCATTTTCCTGAAAGGTGCGAACTGTCTGCGGGGGGTCAGCCTAGAGGTGGATCCGGATGTGGTGCAACGTGGCGAGAAGGTGATTCTGCGGTGCAATTATGATTTGGAGAATGCGCCACTCTACTCCCTCAAGTGGTATCGAGGCAGACACGAATTCTACCGATTCTCACCCACCGAGGAATCATCTACCAAGACCTTCAACATTTCCGGGATTAATGTCGACGTAAGTCACTAAATGAGATCTCCGATAACATTTCGTGTTTGTTCGGACTGAATTCCCTTATTGCTGACGTATTTTCAATATTATAATCAGTAATATTATGTATATAATAATAGTAAAATAATATGTATTGTATTCATTTTTAATACAGTTTTATATTAACAAAATTTTAATTATAATTTTATATTAACAATTTTTATAGTAACATGCAAAAGACAATTCAGTCCATCATATTTTCATGTTATTTTCTTTAAATAAAAATAAAGTATAAAATTATACGTACGAACAAATAAATGAATATTTTTAGGTAAACATTTCGAGTAAATAATATTTTTTAATAATATTTTTTTCTACTTTTACATAATGAT